CGATCATGGTCAAGATCACGAAGAAGATATTATATTGTTTTGCAAACTCTTTCCCCCTATTTTTTCCCGACATTGTATACGTTTTCATTAGCGATGCCATGTGGTCCGAATAGTAACGAATATCAAAAATAAAATTAAATGGCTTGAAATTAAGTGCAGCTGTAGCCGTCACGCAACTTTATCATGATACGTTTTATTTCTAAATCATTCTATACAAGGTAATTGAACCGGATAATGAAATGCACTGAGATGATATTATCTGCATTTTATTACATTCCGATTATTATTTAAAATTTAAATGGTATACAGTATGACTTGAATGATCACGTAAATGGCTGACAGAACAGGCTGTTTTTCGGAATATCTCATATATCTAGGAATACATTAACAATTTAAAGTGGTTTGTAATAATGCCACACTTTTTTATATGTTATGTGGCCACACTTTTTTATATGTTATATGGCCACACTTTTTTTACATATTTAAAGTGGTAAAATTGATACACCCCACTTAAGCCGATACATCAGAAAGTGCGATGTGAAGATTACTTCAATCTGGGGTCGAACCCCAAAGTGCGTTTGTCCCCAGCGTGTGGTGGTACACGGCCTTCAAAGTCTCTGTTATTGATTCTTTTGATATGCAAGTATGTGCGTTTATACTACCGATGCTAATAAAAATTCAGGGAGGTTTTACTTACTTGACGGGATCGGAAGTATATTGCCGATATTGTTATATAATTTGATGGAAATCTATATCAATAAACCATTTGCTTACTCTAGTTTTTTTCCAAAATGATAATTTCTATTTTGCAAGGTGACCTTAAATGATAATCAAATAAATGTCTTAAACTAAAAGCGGACCTGATTTTCATTTTATTTCTGAGCTCATTTTTTAATATATTTCCGTTTCAAGTGATTTATGTATGTTAAACATTAAATATTTTATGCAAGTTTATGTAAGTTTTGATGAAGATAACTTTTATAATAGCATAATTTGATATGCTGTGCTTCTGTTAGTATATTTACAAAATGTATGAGCCGCATCATGACAAAATCAACATAATGGGTTTGCGACCAGCATGGATCCAGACCAGCCTGCGCATATGCGCAGTCTGATCAGGATCCATGCTTTTCGCTTGCAAACCCTATAACAAGTACATAAACTGATAGCGAACAGCATGGATCCTGATCAGACTGCGCGTATGCGTAGGCTGGTCTGGATCCATGCTGGTCGCAAACCCATTATGTTGATTTTGCCATGATGCGGCTGACCCCGACTGAACGCATACAAATGGCAACAAAAGAAAAAAGAAACATCCTGTTGTGAAAGTGGATTCAGTAGCACAAAACAGTAAACATCATTATCAATGTTCTATCAAACGTAAAAGATTGAACGAGATATAGACTGGCTGACGACGGCTGTATTAAATGGGAAATTAAACTCCTCAAACGCATAATGTTTTAAAGAAATATTAAAAAATACATGAAATAAAATCTCAACCGATCGTAGCAAACACCATGTAAATTACTAAACAGCTGCGTAATAACGAAGTACAAAGATGGTAATAAATACTGCACAGATTTTTCTTTAGTTTTTCTCTGGTGGCATGCAGCTTAAAGTCAATTTACTTATTAAAGAATTTTCTGAATTCCGGAGGTTTTGTTAAAAAAAGATGGGGCAAAGGGCCATATTAATGTTAAAAAGTGGTCTCAATCCCGTTGGCGCTTTTATTCAATTTTGATCCAAGTGTCATGATTTATATAACTTTTGTGGAGGACCACAAGGTTATACTATTAACCAAATACTTGTACATGTATATTAGGCTCTTGGTATCGTATTGTCTGTGTGAGTCTATATAAAATAAGTGACCAAAAAGTGCAGAGCCAATTTCTGACTGACCAAAAGATACAATTCAAGACCGCTTTTGTTTTATTGAATCTCTATCCAGCTTAATTGCTGTAGGCAATTTTCTTCTATCTTCTATTCTTTCCATATTGTTGTGACGTCTATTTTTCATACTTTAAGTACTTTGATACTTGTCCGATAATTTAGGGGTGTTGTGCCTATCGCATGATTATTTCGTGTTTTTCTTCATGCGGAATTCTCGCCTTTCTTCTCTCTCTTTTTCCCGGGTTCTTCGAAGTAAGCAGACGTGACAGGTTTTCCTCCCAGTCCCTTTTAGAGTTTAAGGCCTTGTATTTGAGTAATTTGATAAGAAGACACAACCACCAAATTACTTCAATATGTTCCGGTTGTTTACTTGCTTATAGTTGTGACAAACAATTTTAATTTTTAGTGAAAAAATATTACAATTTATGATTGGTAAACAATTTCTAAAGCATTTTGGTTTAATCTAATAGTATAAGAACATTTCAAAAGAAAATTATATGCAAAATTTGCGATTTGGAGTCGTACACATTATGACAAAGCAATATTTATGCATGAGCACTTTCATTTTCAGTTGAACGTATAAAAGCTTAAATTTTAAAATGAAGAACATGAATACATTTATTTAACAATGGCGTAGCTACTATTAGGCCATGTAGGCCCGGGCCTACAAGTTGGTCAAGAAACTAACATTTTCGAAAGTCCCAAAATGCAATAAAAGCAAGTGGGGTGGGATTTGTAGTGGGTTCAATACATGTGATCGAATCTAGTGTGTTTTAGGCTGATAAATATATGATTCACCATTTTCAGCAAAGATTATTGTTTTGATTAAAGTAGGAGGTTGTTTTGTTCTTTTTAATCTGAACTTGTATTTGGCTTGTTGGGGCCTTTGTCCCTGCATTATGCATGTTTGGAATGAGAAACTTTTATCTATTTTTCTGTAATTTTTCATATTTCATTGTTTTATTTATTATTTTTTCTTGTTTTTGTTGACATAACGTCCTCGTGTAAAATAAATGTAGCTCCGTCTTATAGCTAACTTGAATACTGGCCAAACATTGCTTCAATTGATATAAATAAATGAGATGATGACATTATGTGTTATATTTGACCAGCTGTTTAACATTTATAAATCAAAAAGCATTCTAATAACTGTATTGTAAATATCGATATTTCTATATATAAATTATAGATACTAATGTTCTACTAACATGAATATTTATTATAGAATGACTTGAAAGTAAGGTTACCGAAAACAAAAACAACAACAAAACAAACAAAAAATTAAATAACACAAAAGCACGCCTCATATAATTTAATTTATCACAATTTACTACAAATGTAGTTACATCATGAGAGCAGATAGGCAGCAGGCGGTATATAACCTTTCAGGTCATACATTTAAGTAAAGCTGCCCATATTAACCTCAAAGCGAGCTCGATTTACTTTTACCGTGAAATAGTTTAAAATATAATCGTTCATTTTATTTTACATAATCCTTTTTAAATATGTCATTCGGTATTTTATAACGTGACACTGCTTCCGTTTATTCTGGTTCCTTGTCCTAATATGTTTCTATAAAAAAGCGCAGAACACCAGTCTACGCATCCATTTTCAATCAGAATACCTAGGTTTTTATCGTTATCATTTAATTCGAAAAGTTGCGATTTGTCATTTCAATTTATCTAGCAGGTACTCGCGTTACCGTTAAGCTCGCTGTGCCCTTCGAGCTCGCTATAAATGTAATGTGGTGAAACTTTTCATCGACACATGCATTTCCTGCATCGATAAAATTTTACAAAGCGCCATAGCTATAGTAGCTAGACGACGCGCTCTAACTTTGGTATGTAGGAATTGTGTACGCAGTAAATAAATAAAGAACGTGCAAATTATGACGTCAGATTTTTTAAATAGCGCTTTCTCTGTAACGTCATTTTCTGCATATTGTTGGTATTCTCAAGGGGCGGGTCATATTAAAATTTGTTTTTGTAAATGTAGATTTTATTAACTAAATGTATCCAGGTTGGGGACACATTTGAAACTAAGGTCATGATGAGCCATTCCAAATGTAAACTATTTAAGATTTGGATATTGCTGTTTCACACAAGAATAGTCAAATACTGGTAAGTTTTCCTATACAATTTTATATACACTAAATGAACCCCATGTCGATCCCAATTTAGTCACTCGAACATTAAGATCTATTTTGTCTTGCCTTTTCAGTGGTCAAAACAAACGAACGACAGGAAACATTCCATAAAAAAAATCCGAAGTATGTGCATTTGGTGCTCAAATAAGCTAGAAATCGAAATAGATTTCGGCATTGGAAGTATTGCTTTACGTACTGATAAACATTGTCATTAAATAATACAAAATTTGTTACAGAAATAACCGTCTCTAGGAAAGCCCAATATAGTGTTGTTACAACTTTTGCCTTCTTTCGTATGTATACATACAATAATTTTGTACATAAAATTAAAGTTTATAAATGTATATAATTTATATTGTAAAATTAATGCTTCAAATGACTATAGAATACATTAAATAAAAGTAATTTATATGTAAACCGGTATTTTATTACAAGCGTTGACATGCGTAAAATCATTGTCAGTCTTACTAAAGGTAACAGCTCAAGATTTTGTACCAGACCATTTTCTTCTGTTCAAGCACAATATTCTTGTACATCAAATTACATTGACCTTCCTTTTTTTTTTACAAATCTTCCAATTAAAACATGCAAACAATGGTAACAGCATTAGTTTCACTCTTTTAAAATTTTCATATCCTATTTCATCAGATACAATTCCATACATTTTATGGTAAACTGAATTGTTTGAAAATTAAGGCATCAGTAAAATACCATTGAAATGAACTATATTGTATTGTATTGTATTGTACTATAACAACGAAGAGTCTCTGACCATAAGAGACGGAGACTACAGATATCGCACTTAATAATAGAAGATATCTAAAATTTTGTACACGCAATCATAAACAGTTCTTAGTCGTCACCACCACCTTTAGATCTATAAACTCTACAAACAATTTAAAGGGTAGGCGTTCCTGTTTACAAAGCTATAGTCAAGTGACAAACGTTACTTTATAATCTGATACACCTGGTTAAACCGACAGAACGGGCTCTGGAATTGGCAAAGCAATCTCTTAAGTGTTTCAAACATGAAAGGGTATTTAGAAGTCATTCTTGCGTTCTGCGTTGTTTATTGTGTTGCAGCGCAAGAGACACAGTACGAGGAGAAAATATTAGAACTGGAACGGAAAGTAGACCTGCTGGCACGAAATGTCAACGCAAAAGGTAAAAGTTATATTTGATGAACAATGTGGCATCATAAATTGGCGATCTTTATTTTGTGAAAAAAAGTTTTCATAGGTAAATATTCTTTATTATTTGCATATACTCGTATTTCATGCGTAAGTGTGTCGAGTTCAAATCTTTTCATTTGTCTTGTGACTAAAACTATTCCAAGAGTGTAAATTAGAATTAAAATCATTTTTCTTTCTTTTAAAAATAGCTTATTGCATTGGTTAAACAATATTTATTTCTTCATTAATATTTATAGACAAAATTACAGCATATAAATTACATTCAGGATTGAGAAGAAAGCTTAAAGCTTATACAAAACTCTCTCCTGTATTAACATATGAACAATTAATTTTAGTAACAACATGACATAGTTTTTGTAATTACAGTTCATTGTACCTGCAATTAATTCCTTCCATATATTTACAAGAAGATAATAAATACCTACTACGTATGACATAATTTGTAAAGGATCATAAAGATGAACTGAACATGTCAAGTGTGTAAGATGCAAAGCCTTTATCAAATTTAAATAAATTCTCGACATAGGAGAAAGGAGATAAATAGCAAAAAAGGAGGAGAAAGCGGAGAAGAGGGTGGGGTCACTGTGGTATAATGAAAAGTGTAGGTCCTATTTTAGGGACTTACAAGAATTAAATCTTTTATTTACCAAGTATTAGCCAATTTAAGATGATTTCTTTGTTATTAAGTGATACACAGTAATGTGTTTCCTTGTGACAATATGCTATAATTATTATATGTTTCATGTATTAGCATATAAAACGGAAATACATGAAACAAAGGCCATGGAAGCAAGGAAAGGGTAACTCTTGCGAAACGAAATGAAGAATGCCCTACTTGCACAATACATTGTAAATTTACTACAAAGTGGCATCAATTTTCTATATCAAACGCATAGATATACAAGATATTCCAAATTCCAGAGTGATATAATCTATTTATTCATACCTATGCATTGTGGAAGTGAGTGCGTGTATATCGCAGTGCGAATTGTTACCATAATCTAAATAAAGATATTTTGCAAAGCTGATATTCTTGCCTTCTCTGAAACATGGCTGAACAATACAATATCGTCTGATGATCTTAAACTCTTATCTTACAATACTCCTGAACGAAAAGATCGGATTGATGATTCTCATGGCGGAGTTATCCTCTATGTTCGAGAAAATCTACATTTTAAGAGACATTACAACTTAGAACTTAATAACTTGGAGTGTATCTGGATTGAATTTATTCCTGAAAATAACAAACATGTACTCTTCGGTCTATTTTATCGACCTTCTAATGCCGATGCAAATTACAGTAATAAGGTTGAAGACTCAATCGCTCTTGCTATCGATACAAATATTTCTGACATTATCCTTACAGGTGACCTCAATTATGATGCATTAACCATAACTTCAAACAGAAAAATCAACTCAATTACACAACAATTTAATATGAGTCAACTTATTGACGAACCTACTCACTTTACCGAAACATCACAATCATTAATAGATCTCATATTTGTAACTAATATAAATAACATCGTAAAAGCTGGTGTTGGTGAACACTTTCTCAACCAAGAACATCGATTCCATCTCCCAGTTTTTTGTCTTCTCAAATTTAGAAAACCCTCTCAACGTGGATTTCAACGAACTATATGGGAATACAATCGAGGTGACTTTGATAAACTCCGACAAGATCTACTAAATTATAACTGGCATACATGCACTCACGCAGATTTAGACACATATGCGGACAATATAACAAATCAGATCATAAATATTGCAAAAAATAATATACCAAATAAACAAATACATGTAAGACCATCAGATGCTCCATGGATGACTAGTACAGTAAGAAGCCACATTAGAAAACGAATTTAAAACGCATTTACAGAAAAGCAAAACAAACACAGTCTTTACATCATTGGCAAAAATTCCGACAACTTAGAAATGAAACTATTTTATTAATTCGCGAAGCTAAATCAAATTATTATTGCAAATTATCGGATAAACTCAAAAGTGGATCATTATCGTCTAAAGACTGGTGGAAAACGTTAAAATCATTTATATCATCACAACAAATAACTCCAATACCACCATTACAAAATCCAGAAACACTCGAACTAAACTTTACAGATGAAAACAAAGCAAATTTATTAAACGACTATTTTATTAAACAAACACTCATTGAAGATTCAAATAAGCATGTACCTGATCTTGGCCCATCAATGACAACAACTTCACAATCTGAAATTACACTAACTGAAACTGAAACAGAAAATGTCCTAAGATCATTAAATATTGAAAAAGCATCCGGTCCTGTTGGTATCAGCAATAGAATTCTACGCGAAGCGTCACATGAACTCTCTCAACCTCTTTGTGATTTGTTTAATGCCTCATTTCTTCGTCGTAAAGTACCATCGACATGGAAAGTAGCTCATGTATCTGCAATTTTTAAAAAAGGTGACTCCTCTCTTCCAAATAATAACCGCCCTATCTCTCTTCTTAATACAATGGAAAAAGTTTTTGAGCGGCTAATATTCAAACATCTTTTCAACCATCTCCAAGCTAACAACTTTCTTACTCCTGTTCAATCCGGCTTTATTCCTGGCGACTCTACTGTTAATCAACTTGTTTTTATCTATGATACACTGTGCAAAGCACTTGACAATGGTCTAGAAGCTCGGGTTATTTTCTTTGATATCAGTAAAGCATTCGATAAAGTCTGGCATAAAGGTATACTTTCAAAACTCAAATATGCAGGTGTTTCCGGCAGCCTCCTCGAATGGTTTACTAACTATCTCACTAATAGGCGTCAACGTGTAGTTATATCTAATTCAAAATCATCTTGGGGTACTCTTTCAGCTGGAGTACCACAAGGTTCTATTCTTGGCCCTCTGCTATTCCTTATTTTCATAAATGATATTGTTCTAGATCTCCAATCATCTGTCAACCTTTTTGCTGATGATACAAGTCTCTATATCATTATAGAAAATCCACTAGTCGCAGCTCAACAGTTACAAACAGATATACAGACAATCACAACATGGGCAGACAATTGGCTTGTCACATTCAACCCATCACTTATTGTATCTAGGAAACATAACGCAAACCACCCTTCTTTATATATGCTCAATCAAAATATACCAGAAGTTAACGATCATAAACACATAGGAATTATTCTCTCTAATAACTGTAATTGGCATTCACACATTGAATATATAACCGAAAAGGCTTGGAAGCGTGTCAATATAATGCGAAAGTTGAAATATTCTTTGGACAGAAAATCTCTTGAGATAATTTACACTTCATTCATTCGTCCTATTCTTGAATACGCAGACGTCATTTGGGGAAATGCTTTTCAATATGAACTCGAAAGCTTAGATAAGATTCAGAATGAATGTGCTAGGATTGCTTCAGGTGCGACAAGATTAGTTTCTATCGAATACCTAATTCAAGAACTTAATTGGGAAACATTAGAACAAAGACGGTATAATCACCGATTAATTCTGTTTTATAAAATGCATAACAATTTGACTCCCGACTTTCTCTCTTCCTTAATTCCTGATCAAACTAATACAAGGTATAATTTACGTAACTCTGATAATACTGCTGGAATATATGCGCGAACTTCTTTATACTACAACTCCTTTCTTCCCTCTACTATACGCGATTGGAACAACTTACCAACCGAAGTTCGGAACTTACCAACACTTTCATCATTCAAGAACTTCTTAACACGTAACAGGAAACGCACACCAAAATACTACTATTCTGGTAACAGAAAATTACAGGTTCTCCATACACGTCTTCGCACAAAATGCAGTTCTTTAAATTATCATCTTTTTCTAAGAAACATATCACCCTCACCTTTATGTGAATGTGGCCAAGTCGAAAGCAACTATCACTTCTTCTTTGAATGTTATCGCTACAACTTGTACCGAAATGAATTATTTATTAATATTCAAGCTTTTGATATCAATCTGGATATTCTTCTCTTCGGAAACCCTGGCCTATCAGATGATGATAATTCAACAATATTCTCTAACGTGCAGTCTTTTATAGCAAAAACTAAAAGATTCCTTTAACGATTTAACACATAACAAATAATTATGAGACTCTCCTTCCCCTTTTTCTCTTTTGAATTACTACTTCTTTCATACTCCATATATATTTGTTTCTATTATACGTTTGGTAATATATATTTTTCTCAGAAAATTTTACATCACCAGTTCGACACCGATATATTTAACAACTAAACGGAGAAGAATTCTATAAGACCTAGTCTTTCGTTCTAATCCTCTTCTTTGAATATTGTCAAATTTTGTATGTGTATATATTTCAAATGTTATTATGTACATATTCTGAGAATAAATATGTTTAAACTAAAGCTAGAATTCAGATTGGTTTGAAACTGTTACCTCTGACTGCTATCTCGTGGACCTGAACTCAACCACAGCACGACTAAGACTAATAAAGCTTGTCCGCCTAATAACTTATATTCCTTTGACCCACTGTCGACATATATGGCATGGAGGTTAGACATGATTATTAGATGACCCCTATTTATTTTGATGTCAAAGGTCAAGGTCACATGGGCCTTCACTAAAAAAAAGCTTGTCAGCCCATTTACTTAATAATCCTCTAACCCAGTTTTCATATTTGGTATTGAGGTGGTTTATGATTATAAGATTACCCCTATTGATTTTGAGGTCACTGGATCAAAGGTGACAGGGATCTTGACCAAACAAAGCTTGTTAGCTCAATTGCTTAGAAAGGCTTTGGTCAACAGTCTTCATATTTGGTATTGAGGTGTTTATGACTAGTAGATGACCCCTTTTGATTTTTAGGTGACTGTGTCAAAGGTCAAAGTCACAGGGGTTTTTACTACAATAAGCTTGTCTGCTCAAATGCTTATGGTTCTGAGTGTATTGATTTTGACATTTTCACATTTGAAGAATGTAGAATGCATAACTTAGCAATGCACTGGCTTACTAACCTCAGATTCAGTCATTATCATCACCACTCACCATCATCCCCATCATCAACATCATCTACCATCTACATCATCATCATCAACATCATTTACCATCTACATTATCATCGTCATCATCATCATCCTCATCATCAACATCATCTACCATCTACATCATCATCATCAACATCATTTACCATCTACATTATCATCGTCATCATCATCATCCTCATCATCAACATCATTTACCATCTACATTATCATCGTCATCATCATCATCCTCATCATCAACATCATCTACCATCTACATCATCATCATCAACATCATCATCATTTTCAACTTCATAAATAGTTGCAATTATATTTTTTTTGCAATATATTTTTCATCATATACATGTATAATAGATTATAAATATAAATTTATTGAGAGTACATTATTCTAAAGGACAAATGAATGCATCTAATGTCATATATTATTATTATTCATGATTACATCATTAAAACAAGCATGTTATGGGTTGTGATTTTTAAAATCACTTGTTCTGTTTTGATTCCAGCATAATAAAATTGACTGCACTAAGGTTTTTCCTTATATTTCAAAAGGTCATGTTTATTGATTATTTTTATGATATCTTCACTTTCTCAGTTTCAATATATATATTTCCTTTAAAAGTTCATGTTCATTTTACATTTGTAGTTGGGTCTTTCTTCATAAGTCTACCATCCCTTGCTAGGTCAGATCTGAATTTTGTTAAGTTTCCAGTTATTTAGATTTTTTCCTTCTTGTCTCTGAAAGATTTTCTACTTTGATGAATTGGGTTCTTGCTCTTTATGAGGTAAATTTTACTATAATGTCTCTTTTTTTCTTTACTCAGGGGCCCTTCTCTATGACAGTTGTCAATATCATTCATTGATATTTCAGCTCAAGTTTTCTTGGCAACATCTATAACTAAGTCAGTAATATTTTCATCTTTCTGCTCATGAATATAACTTATGCTTACACTATTTTTTCTGCTATATTGCTCTGCTTCTTCTTGATGTGTTTGAATTTCTTCATTTTACATTTGGAGATCATGAATTTGATTTTTTAGATTTATTATTTCTTTTCTAATTTCTGCTGTTGATTAATGGAGTTTTTACAGCGGCCATTGCATTTATTTCCTCCTTTAAAATTTCTTAAATCACAGATGTTATTTTCAAAATATCTTGGTCAGTTAGGTTTGTAGTTACTAAAGCTGATCCCATAGGTGCTGTCACCATGGGATGGGTCATATTTTGGGATTCCAAATTAAACATTTGAGGAAACATTGGCATAGGCATAAGCTGTATAAGGATGTATTCCACTAGAACCTTGCATTCCATATTTGATGCTGCCATTATGGTCTACAATTGTGTCACTACCTTCCATTTTAGGGTTTAAAAAGGTGTGTCACTAGGTTTTGCTAGATGCTCCCCTATGTCAGATTCTGTACTACCCTCAATGTCTGTCTGTCTGTATTTCTTTTCAGAAATTCTGTTGTCCTCCGGGGAGGATATTTTACTCTTAGTTGAAGAGCTTTCGCTTCTGTGTTTGGGTACATGTGTTATTGTTTTCTTCTGTATTTTCACTTTTTTTGTTTTGGACCCATTAAACTTGCTTTTTTATTAAAGTCAAATTGTGCGCACAGAAGTCATATATTCTTACATTAAATTTACATTCAATTCGGATAAATATGTCTATAAATGTGTATATATAAGAGTCTGAACAGCTGTAACTGAATATTATTCAGTCGTTTTCGGACAGCAGAATAATTTCGGATAATAGCCTTTTATATAGTCACGATTATTACATAAGTTTTTTACATTATTCAAGTCATATTACTTTACTTCCATTTTACGAATTTAGTATTCATCCGTTCTTGCTGTACAATCATTTGTGAAGAAATTAATTCGGCTATTACATAGTTTTATTTTTTTAACTAAAGATTTTTATGCTCCCCGAAGGGTGAGCATATAGTCGCCGCTTTGTCCGTCCGTCCGTATTACCGGGCGAACATTATATTGTCTATGAGCTTCATTCCGTCCATAATTTTGGTTAAAAAAGAAGGAAATCCCATAAACCGACTGTTTTATGTGGTAATTTTACTGCTTTATGGGGGGAAAATGCCACATAAAGATCAAAGAAAAAGCACATAAACCCCAATTGTTGGCACTTTCGTCCGTCCGTCCGTCCGTCCGCTTTTCTTGTCCGGGACATCACTTTGAAACAATAAGAGGTATCAACATAAAGCTTTGTAGGTAGATAGATATCATTGAGTAGGTGTGCAGTGCACAAGAATCGTAACTTTGTCTTGCTTTAGTTTTGAATTATTGCCTTTTATTTATTTTTACTTTTGAACTTTCTCCGGGACATAACTCTAAAATTATAAGAGGTATCAACATGAAACTTTGTAGGTAGATACTTCTCATTGAGTTGGTGTGAAGTGCACAAAACCGTAACTCTAACTTGCCTTGCATTATTTCAGGCACGAACGGGCACCTGAGTAGAACCACCGACGTTCCGTAAGCTAGCTGGATAGCTTCCTCACATGGAAAAATCCAAAGTCCCTGTCGGGATTCGAACCCACAGCGGTGAGGGGCAAGTGGTTTGAAGTCAACGACCTTAACCACTCTGCCACGGACGCCCCGTTTGAAAAGAGATATTGTGTTTTATAAAATAAAATCGTCAACGCTCCGCGGATTTCTTTATGCCGGAGTCATTTTTACCCTCATTTGGGATGAGTAATGCGTCGTATGACACAGGTCGATATTTGAGAGACTGGTGTGTATACAATTCTATCAGTTATAGATAGTCGCCGAATTGAGAGTTTTAAATATGTTTTAAGTGGCGGCATGGGCGAGTGATTTACGCGTCGGAATAATAATCTAATGATCGCTAGACCTCGTCAAGGGCAAGTCGTTTTTTACTTTACACTCATTGCTCAGTACTGGTTGGTTCCAGGAACGAATTCAAAAGTATGCCCATAAGCTTGTAGCCTCCTACACAATCGAACTAAAATAAATTCTGTATAAACCAAATATGTCTTAAGAAAACATGTCGTTAATTCTGTTTGAAACATAATAGTACACGTACGCTATGTACCGGTGAAGCATGAGGCAGTCATTTATAATTTAAATAGTTTTTATTTATTGTATAATAAACAGGTTCTTTTATAAGTGAATAAGCATGAAATTGCCAATAATATTCTATTAATTATACACAAATTAACAGCAAAAGAATGATCATAATTCACCTTAACGACTAAAAATTGAAGTAAAGTATCGATCAGATTATAAATGATATTGATGATGTAGAAACATTGTAAAAGATTGTAACATCCGCAGACAAAGTGTTAGGTTCAATAATTGAGAACACGTCGATTTGTTGTGAATAATTACATATATTCGTACATGCAATTTGATAGTTGCAAGGATTATTGATAATGGAAAATATATCCTTTTTTCCAAAAGAGGAAAAAAGGTTTACACTTATTTATTTCTTAACTTTTTATTAACTTGACAAGATGTAATGTTAAAAATATGTCTGAAATAAGGCATTTAACATTATTACCTTTTTTTTTCTCTCAAAAACACAGAATGCAGTAAGTGCCCGATAGGATGGACACGTTACGGTGGGTCTTGTTACCTAGTGTTGGAGGCCCCTTTAACATTTAGTGGAGCAAGAGTAAGTCAGATTGGAAATTGAACTTAATATATATATATAAAGTGTCGGATCAAGAAAATTATACTAGAAATAACTGACATTAACTGGTAGGCTATAATTAAATTGAAAAAATCCATTAATGTTTTTTAGTTATATATGTATATATTATTATTATTATTATTATTATTATTATTATTATTTTATTATTATTATCATTAAAAAGAAATAGAAAAATACGCCCCCCCCCCCCCGAAAAGAAAGTATAAATATATGTGCCCTATTTTGCCTAACAACTAATAAACTAAAAGTGTCGTACTTTATTTGCAGGCCGCATGTGCAAAACGCAGGGCTGTATTAGTCCATATAAATAACGCAGAAGAAAACAAGTTTCTAGCATCGTACGTGAAAAGGAAATCAAAAGGTCAGTAGGTTGTAAGTTAATATTATTGTGTAGTCATGTTTTTACTGTTAATCTTTAAGAATAAACTACCAGAAGAAAAAGTGCTTAATGGAAAAAGCTTTTTTTTATTTCTTTCTGAAATATGATACAAGTGTACATGTAATATGCAAGTAACTATCATCGAATGTCGTCATATATATATGGAAATACCAAGCTATTGGGAGAATGTTCAGCGGAAATCCTCAGAACCACGTAACCATCGTAAACAATTTCCCTCGCGCTAGATAATCTGGTCTTTTTTTGCAGCCAATATAAGACTTTTACATTCTACAGCTTTAATTGATAAAAATTGTGGAAATACAAATGTAAAAAAAAACACTAATTAAACATTCGAATTAGGCCAAAGTAATCAGCATCAAGAAAGTGCCTGTATATTTTTCTTTAAAACTACTACTGTACAGTATCTAAATAAAAATAATAAAAGCTTAAAGCAGCACGCGTCTAGATTAATGCTGATTTTTGTAAAATATTTGAAAATTGATTATAAAGTATTGAATTGTAAAGTAACCATAACGAAGCAGTTTGCACATTACCAATGGCACTCACATTCCATGTAAATTACCAAAAAGAGGACAAAATATGCAAAAAATAAAAGCCTTTAATGCGTTAGTAACGCAGTAGAAATATAGGTCTAATTACTGAAAATCAGCGATTGATCGCACATAGCATATCAATTATTACTTGAAGTTTGAATCTCTTATTTTTCCTAAAATCTTATATGATTACTTGAAGTTTGAATTTCTTATTTTTCCTAAAATCTAATTTGATTACTTGAAGTTTGAATCTTTTATTTTTCATAAAATCTTAGTACATCTTTCTCATTCTTGATTTTATTCAAATATTTTAACAGCAAGAGCTATTGAATCTTGAACGAACTTATGGAAATAATTACAAGAATGGGACTAAAGAATAATTATGTCATTTAAGAAGCTTTGTTCTATTAAATTGGCGAAAGAATAAATATCTTGATAAAATCCTGTACTTGTTCTTATCTGAATAACGTACGTTCTACACTTATGTCAACAGGTTATAACTATTGGATCGGACTGACAGATTACAACACAGAAGGTACTTTCCGATGGATTGACGACAAATCATCCCCAACTTTTCAAAACTGGGCGTACAATCAACCTGATAATGCACAGAATAGAGAAGATTGCGTACATCTGATCACCCGTTTGAATTTCAAATGGAATGACCGACCGTGTTTAGATCGTATAAAGTCCATTTGTGAACGGAAAATAACAGGTTGAAAATAAATAAACAGAACCAGAATACACCCCACATATGCAAAAAAAAGAAAGAAAAAACATTGAAAGGAACATTGTAAACAACTCTTACACTAGTAAATAGAATAGCTATATTTTCTATCAATTCATTAAGATTATATTGCCTTTAAAACTCATAAGAATATGGAAAAATCTTATATATTCATGCTTATATGCTTAGCTCATTTTCCCCTTTAATCCCCTATTTAATAAAGTAGTAATCAAACGTATTTCAGTGTCTGTATGAGCTTTTAATATTTATGCATCTTTGCCATTATTCAATTTATACTTAGGTCTAATTCATATGTGTTCGTTCGTGTTGGAAGTTGTTAGCAGATTGAAAAATTCTCGAATCTGTTCCTTTAACCAACTTGTACTAAGCAATGATTGTAAAAGATTCTGGAAACAAAGTGATCCCTCGGAAGCATTAATCACAAGAAAATTACATAAAAATTGCAGACTAAAGTTTCTTATTCCCGGACCTAAATGTTTGCTTCCGACGGGAGTTTGAACCCAACAATCCTTTGATGCCTTAATCAATATGTAAGGGGACGTCGCCCTTGGGCATAAATCACAATGCCGAGTGTTTTGCTCTTCTTTTTCTTTTGTATCATAGGCAAAAATAACAAAAACATGTTCCCTTTTGTCAAAATTTGAAATCCCCAGAACAAAAGAAAAAACGGACTAGTTTCTGAATATAATATTCCTAACGCTTTCTGTTTCTTTGTCGTAACAATAACTCAACCACGGAAAATGGCCCAATCAATGGTCATGCTCTGGAGTGCGGGAATCTACTACTTGCACACGTGCATTTATATGTCTTCAGTTTAACTCTGACACCTTTTCTTTAGAAAGGCACCAAAACAACGATACAGCTTCTTACTAATACTGTGCAAACAACATTTAGTGTCATTGCCTTACTACCTGTAGTGGTGGGGTTTGGTTGACAAACACTCAATTTGGTTGATACAAATATTTATTCTATCAAGAATAAAACCTGTAACAAATTATTATAAATAAGTATGAGACATCACATTACAAACAAATAATGTACAAGACAAATACATTTCACAAAATACATAATACAATATAATACAACAATTCAAATTACAATAAAAACAATTTCACAAATAAATAATAAGAGGATATTTTTTCGTTTGAGTGAAATATGGAATATATTTTCACGAAACATGATAAAATGCCACATATTTTCACGAGCCTGGAAGGCGAGTGAAAATATGTGGCATTTTATCATGTTGAGTGAAAATGTATACCATATTTCACGAAAAACGAAAAAATAACCTTTTTATTTAATTTCATTATCAACGAAAAATGGTTACGAACCCCCTTGCTTGCTACGCTACGCCAATCTCCACACAGTGATCTCCCCTTAATTCTTCGGCAATTCTGCCAAGGGAGGTAATCACTGTGAGGAGTTTGACCAATCTCCACGCAGTGATCTCCCCTTAATTCTTCGGCATAGATCTCTGCCACCAAGGTCCCAATATATCAGAATTTCTGATATACTATATTTTTTCAAAAATTGTTTTATTTACTGCTTTTATCTATCAGTTAAGTTTTTTCTCATTGATTAAACAATGTTTATGAATAAATAAATAAATAATATGAATATTTAGAAATAATTTTTAAAAATATGAGAATATTTTCTACCGAGACAATATTTTGATACTTTATATTTTTTAGGTTTTGAATTTATTTTTCGTTATTTCGTATACTTTTGATAATTTTTTGATAAACTATAACGATCGTAGGCACTAAAAGTTAAAAATAAAACAGAAAGAGAAAAATGACGTTAGATTTTCTATGTAACGGTCGATATTTACATTTGAATTTCGACGTTACGTCATGTGACTTTCATCATCATGTGACGTCTTTGAAGGCAGTGATTACAATTATGCCAAGGGAGGTAATCACTGTGAGGAGTTTGGAGTTTGACGCTACGCGCAATTGTCCAATCTCCACGCAGTGATCTCCCCTTAATTCTTCGGCGTAGATCTCTGCCACCAAGGTCCCAATATATCAGAATTTCTGATATACTATATTTTTTCAAAAATTGTTTTATTTACTGCTTTTATCTATCAGTTAAGTTTTTTTCTCATTGATTAAACAATGTTTATGGATAAATAGATAAATAATATGAATATTTAGAAATAATTTTTAAAAAATATGAGAATATTTTCTACCGAGACAAATTATATTTTGATATTTTATATTTTTAGCTTTTGAATTTATTTTTCGTTATTTTGTATACTTTTGATAATTTTTTGATAAACTATATGGATCGTAGGCACTAAAAGTTAAAAATAAAACAGAAAGAGAAAAATGACGTTAGATTTTCTATGTAACGGTCGATATTTACATTTGAATTTCGACGTTACGTCATGTGACTTTCATCATCATGTGACGTCTTTGAGGGCAGTGATTACAATTCTGTCAAGGGAGGTAATCACTGTGAGGAGTTTGGCAATTGTCCAGCGCGCAGTAATATAGATGCGTCTTGTTTTGCACGCGATATTTGGCGCTACATTGTGACGTCACTTAAACATCTCTTTAAACGTCTGTACAGCGTTAATGACTGAATTAAAGATATTGGTTTTCGGATTTATTTTCTTAGTTGGACCATTTTTTATCACTCTAGATAGTTTTCAAAACGAAATTCAACAAAAAGTTGTTTTGTATTTATCAGATTTTTAAAAAAAATGGCGAAAGAAGTCCCTGACTGATATAGCACCATATTTCATGGGTGAAATTAAATAAAGCACCGTATTTCATAAGTAAAATTAAATAAATACACATATACATACCAGACTTGTAATAGAAGAAATCTAATGATATAATAGAAATAATAAAGAATCAAGTATTTCTATAAAGAAACTACTGAAAGTTAAATAATTTTACAGTTCTTTTCACTTCGAAAGCGAGATAAGGAGTGGTCAGATACCAAGAAAATAGTACATTCCAGAACCAAATCAACTAAAAATAACTTTCTTGCCACTGGTTCTTGTTGCTGGGTCATATGGGGGTTGCGTTCATTGAATGCCGCCTTTCCTTGTTGATCTTGTTTATCATATTTCTTACAAAATCAATCATACATCACTCAACTTGCAAAACCAGTTCAATCACCCATAACAAAAGGACAAAAGACAAACATGAACACATAACACCCCAAAAGATTTGGTTTGGCCTTTAACGGAAATTACTACCGTATTTATCATAAAAAGAGAACTTGGCTTTATTTAACCTTATCTACACACTCAAGTTAAAAATGAACAAGTACGAACAAGTATTTTGATGATTCACATTAATCATTATCAGATTGGAACAAAAAATTTGGATAGGTCCCTATTATATTATGATTAATGACATATACAAATGTATTTAAAATAGTATGCCAATCTTTTTTTAAATTGGTCAAGATTTCCACATTGGATAGCTTTTTCTTCATTTACCTTTAGAACATATGAAATATACTTTATAGCACCAGCAAAAGATAGCATTCTTTTATTAGTTTTACATTTAAAGATATACATTTTGACATATAAAAGAACTAAATTGTTTACAATACTTATTGTATTGTTTCCTTTAGTGTAACGAAAAAGCATAGTTTCTTTTATCAAGTTTTGCATGTTTAGTTTATCTATACAAATTTCGTGTATCAATTTATTGCTGTGAATGCATTCCCAAAAGATATATTCTATAATTTCACCATGAAGATTACAAAGGCTACATAAGGGACTGTTAATATATTTCATTTTGAACAAAAGATTATTTGTACCCAAAATCCTATGGATAAGTCTTACTTGGAACCATTGTAAATAAGTATCTTTTGTCAATTTGAATGGTAAATTATATACATTCTTCCAGTATTCATCATCATTAGAGAGGCATAGTTTTTGTGACCATTTGACCTGACAAACGGGCTTGCTGAAATTGACATTAAGCGAATCATACATATATTTTGAGCCTTTTTGGTCTTTAATTATCCCTTTAATGTGTATTGGAATTATTGGGAAATTTTCTCTCTTAAAAGTTAAAGAGTTGAAGCAGACATTTTGAAAAAAAGTTTGTTACTGCTTTTTTAATTCCTAAATATAAAAGATGATTGATATTTATATTGTAGATCTTGCCTAATTCTTCTGGTGTATAAAACTGGCCATTGTCTTGTAAGATATTATAAATACAACGAATTCCCTTATCATACCAAGATTTCCAAAAAATACTTTTATTGCCAATAGTAATGTTGTGATTGTAAAATAAAGATAAGTTACAAATGTATTCTTTATCAAATTTCTGATGCTCAATAAACAATGAAAATGCATTTAAAGTGTGTTTCAAGAATTCAATTTTAATAGATTTTGACATTTTCTCGACATAATGCTTTCCACACGTGACTAATTTTTGTACATCAATACCCTGTGTTAAAAACCATCACTTGAAATAATTCGTCTTATCCATGTAAGTTTTAACGCATTCATAAAAGCATTTATATTTACCATTCTTAAACCCCCTTCCATGTAATCGTTAACTAACACATTTTTATTAATTTTTGAAGTTCCATTCCAAATAAAAGCATATAATGTATCATTAATTTGTTGTATATATTTATCCGAAGGATTCGGCAACATTATAAATAGATGGTTTAGTTGTGAGATAAGTATTGTTTTTATTACTGTTATTTTATCGATTGGAGTCAAAGCTCTTCTATTCCATTGTTTAATCATTTTTTCTATATTGGATATTTTTTCTTAGTTAAGATCTACCATTTTTTCAAGATCCACATGGAATGTTATACTAAGCATTTTGAAACTAGTTTCGTTCCAATTCAGTTTCCATCTAGTTTTTATGCTATCACTGCTGTACTTTTTAATGCCTATCCAAACAACCAGAGGGAAACAACTCTTTATTAAATCTGATAGAGTAACCTCCCTTGAAAATTGCAAAGGGAAACCGCTCTATCCTTTCGTAATTAAGTCAGATAGAGTAACCTCCCTTGAAAATTTGCAAAGGGAAGCCATTCTTGCCTTCCAATTAAGTCAGATAGGGAAACCTCCCTTGAAAATTGCAAAGGGAAACCAGTCTTACCTTTCGTAATTTAATCAGATAGAGTAACCTCCCTTGAAAATTGCAAAGGGAAACCACTCTTTCCTTTCGTAATTAAGGTATATAGAGTAAGCTCCCTTGAGAAATACAAAGGGAAACCACTGTTACC